GTCAAGCTTTGATCAAAGTGAAATTTCAGTGATAAAATCTCTTTCAAGAAAATGATCCACAATGATGCAAGACATAATCAGTTTTTAATTGATAAAAGTGTCCTTCTTGGGACTGCCTGCAGTTATACTGTAGAACATTTCAAATAAAAACCGCCACTCCCACCCCAAGAAACTACGCTTTTAAACTTGCTAAAATATAAGTGTTTACTATCTTTAAAAGGGCCTATCAGAACTTAAATAATTTTCAAATATGTCCATTTTTTAATAAAGTAAGCATTAGGAAACAATTTCTTATACTATGGGGTGACATGTACCACTTCTATTAAAAGGAAATAGAAACTAAAACAAAGCCTTCAATCTCAAAAAAGTAAAAGATGTAAATAGATGACTTATCAAAAGCAGAACCATTTGTTTAAACAGTTAAATACTAAAACACACTCAAATAATATCTGATAATTTAAATTTTTAGATCTTACTGTCTAAAAATTGTTAAAATTGATGTGTTAAAAAATAAATATCCATCAATAATTGAATTATCTGATCATAATGGAGAAATCTCTGAAGACAGAAGATGGATGATCCTCTGGAGAGGGATAATAATGAAAAATGTTTCTGGAAGCAGAATCATAGCAAAAGTATACCACGCATGCCCCAGGAAGGATGCTACAGAACTATCCTCATTAACATTTGTAAAACATTTTCATTTTGCCAAATAATACAGAACATACTTTACTTCCTTTTTTTTGGTGGGGGATGCTTCTGACATTTTTCTTTCTTTTATAGAAAACTTAGTATTCCGATCAAATTTACAAAGGCTAGTACCCAGAAGTTGTTTGAGAATAAAAATGGCTTCCAAAAGTTTCCCTTATGCAACAGAACAGACTTCTTGAGTGGTTAAGTTTCATTTAAGTTTCATTTCACTCATGTAGAAGTGAGTCTAGAAATCTCTGATCTCAGCTAACAAAGTGAGTGTAAAATAATAAAGATGAGGAATGTCTCTTTTATACCAACTCTTTTTTTCCTAATAACCACTAGACTGATAGGATTTTATTTCAAAAGTACAATACTTAATTGCACTCAGAAGGTGAGATCTCATATAAAAGAAGCAATTCTTAAAATGGCAAGGTCTCTACCGTACAGATCACAAAGCTTGCTTTTTGTTACTGACAGTGACCAGCAGCAGATACATTCTTGAAGATATTATAGAGCAATCAATAAATGACATGATAAAAGTCATGACTGGTACCCTAAACTACCTATTTTAATAAATCTTTTGCTTTCCAGAAGAAAATTAATTTGTGTTCTCCATGTTGATATGCATGAACTGTTCAACACATGGATGGAAAGTGTCAAAAACAGCTTATAAACTCTTTCACATGCAAACTGAAAGCATCTGTTGGAGGTGCTGTCACACCAAACATATGGGCATGAGAAGTTCACCTCAGAGTACATCCAGAACTAACTAGAAGTAGTCCCTGCCTGCTCTGCTACTTTGAAACAGGCACTCACTTAGTATGTCACTGGGTAGAGGACTGTCAGCCTTGCCTTTTAATGCTTTTCAATATGTTTAGTCACTTCTTGTTCTTCAGGCATAACATCAGAACAGCCCTCAATCTACTGTACAATACAGAGAGAAACTTCTCTCTGAAGTCTACAAAAAAGCAGCTGCTGTTCCCAACAACTTATCTGTATTTCGTGCTGAAAAATGTCAATATTCAAGATTGTGCCACCATCACAGAATACTGTGCAGATTTCAACTTTCAAGTAAGTGCAAGGGTACCTTAATATAATTATTGAAGTATTTTACATGACACAAAGAGATTTTTAAGGATAAAAATGTTTGTCTCTGCAGAAGGCAGCTATGTTCAAGGCACAAACTGGATGACTGTTTTATCCTTAGGAAAACAGTAGATGAAAAAAACCCCCAAAACCAATCAGTAAACATGATCCTTTTATGAACAAGAGCAAAACATCTACAACCCCATCTCAGTGTATCCTCCTTCAGAGATTAAAAGCGAAGAAGGTAATTGAATATTCAGTGATGGATAGTTGGAACCTGAGCAACCATAAGCAGATTTCCATGAGCTCCAAGATGTAATAGCCCAAGTCACATATAACACGCATAGAACACAGGGATACCCCTATAGCAACAGGTGATGCTGATGAAGATGGTAAAATCCAAATCTGTTTTCCTGCCTATCAACTATTACACTGCATTTCTAGAAATCAAGGCTAGCAAAGTGAACGGGACAGATACTGTTTCATCAGTACAGAACAATTAAATTGAGGGAAAAGAGCAGGAAAGTAAAAACCAATAAAAGTTTCAAGAAAACTAAGGAAAACCAGTTAGAGGATCTTCATTTTAACAGTGATGTACATATACAGTTTAAGATGTGAAAACTATTTTTCAAGTTGCTGAGAACATGTTACACTGACCTGATAGGATGAAATAAGATACACATCATCTCCACCACTATTATGTTCTAAATTTGACAGACAGTATCTGAAAAACAGTCATACCCTGATTTACCTGCCAAAATTGATCTTGTCAAACTTGGGCAAGAAACTGGCTTTAAATTCAGCATATTACTTTAAAAGATAAGCCTAGTTTTATCTATTTACCACAATGAAGTCCAGAATAGGATGTGATTGGTTTGTGTTTTTTTTCTTTTTTCTTTCTTTTAGGTAAGAACTCTTCAATAAACAGGTTTCCAGTTATTTTACAGCCGATATTATAAAGGCAATTAAAGTGTGGAGTGTTTGGGGTTTTTTTTTAAAAAAAACAACAAAAAAAAAAAGTATTACATTATGAAAACATACACTGGCAGAAGATGACCTAAATTAAGGTGTTTCATCCAAAGGAAAACATATGAATCTAGACCACATAAGTATTAAATAGAATCAAATCTACTTCTGTTCCCTTATTTATCTCAACGTTTGGAATTAAAGTTACCATACCTGGGCCAGGGCTATGAAGACCCTTTTATGAAGACAACGGTCTAAATGCAGATGATGGTAGTTACCAGATGCATCTCCAACAAAAGAACCCATTAGAATGTCTGCCCTATTATGCTGTCCTCAAAATACTGTAAGAGGCAATACTCAATGCATGTTTATTTGATCTTTATGATGATATATATACTGCTCGAAAGAAATTCTGATAAAAGTCTGACAATGCACTGAAGAGTAAAGTAAGAAATGAACATTCAGAATGAAGTTCATGAATGATCAGACATGACAAGCAGGAATAAAGAAGGCCTTTGATGCTATTTTCAGTCTCAGAATGTTAAAAAGCTGAAAAAAGTCTACAAATCAAATGAACAGTATTTAAATAAACCTGTCCATATGCATACTTTTACTGTGTGTGGAGTTCTCTCATTCAATTAACTCACTGATTTAGAGGCCAATTTTTAAGCAGAAACTACTGTCATGAACATGATGCAAGGGCAGAATCCCACAAACCAACCTGTGAGACTGCAGGAAAGTGGACAGGAAGGAAAGTTTTTATAATAATGCTGCAAAGTTTTAAATTTTGCAACAAGACATTTCAGGTAGAATAATTATTATTTATTTTAAATGATGGTCACAACCAATCTAACCAGTAATGTAGACCATTAAAATGTCAATTTTTAACACAGTAGTTATCTTTGATGCGTAAGAATTATGCTCCCCTTCCAGAAATTTTAAGATTTACAGATGGAAAAACAAAAAGATGATAGAAATGCTTGACTGCATAGCAGTCAGGGAAGCAACAAGTACAGGAAAGACAAATCCTTTCTAGACAAGCCAAAATAACACCACTAGAACAAATTTGGAGGACTGAGAAGAGTTATAAGAAATATAAAAATCTCCTAAATAATTACCTTTTTTTCCTAGAATTCATAACATTTGCTGTTATTTTGCTGCCACTGTGCAGTCTAAAATGTAAAGTTTAATAAGAAAATTTCAAATAAAAGAAATCCACTTCAGCATTAAAAGAAGTTTCTAACCTTACAAAATACTTTGTGTGTGTGTGTGTGTGTGTGTGTGTGTGTGTGTATGTGTGTGTACACGTGCATGTCATGCAAAACTGCTGAAAAAACCAATCAACATGCGGTAACTGAATTTTAATTTGTTAGATGTTACAAAGCACATTCAGATCTTAATAAGGACAGAATTCTTCGTGGAGCATTATGCTTTAATTATAAATTAATTTAGTTAGTATATATTCACACAATTTTTCAAGTTGGGGAAAAAATATTCTTTACTAAATATCACCAGAAACTGTTTAATATACTTTCAAAATAAAAACACTGCAATCAAGGGAGGTTCTCTAGTGTGACACTGATTTAATAACACTTTGTCCACTAAGATGGTGATTTAAGTTACAAAAGCATTTTTACCAGGTACTTCAATATTGAAGTCTGGTTGAACTTACATAGTTCAAATAGGTCAGCTGGTCTGACAACTCTTAAAGAATAAAGAGTTGTCAACCATCAACCAAAATGTGGTAACTGCACAGAAAAGTGAAGGGCACCATAAAATAAATATCATATCCTAAACAAAGACACAAAAAAAGTTTGTATGTACATTACAGGCATTTTTTTATTCTTATTGCCATAGATTGCAAAAATAATTACAAGCCCCTAAATAGCAATTATAGCTTGATCCAAGCTTGTGTTAAAAAAACCAAAAAACCCCACCCACAACAGTACCGTAGTGTTATAATTCAAGAAGCAGATAAAGTTTAAATCTTTCAGAAAACTTCTCAGAGTAGCAATATCCTCAAAATGCAAGTTGTTCATGATTTTTACACTCGCATTTCAAAGCATTTAATTCTCTTTATTTATTTAATCTTAAATTTTTATGTGTTTTCAAATCTCTCATCTAGGAAATGGTGTCAAAGGTTTTGACATATTCACATTCAGCAGGCAGAAAGTTAAAGTTGGTTGCCCCCATTACAGAAAACGATGCTTAATGAAAAAACAAAAACAAAAACAGAACTTGTGAGAAAAAACGTCTTCTATATAGAGAGGTAAAAAAAGCGTTGCATTACAAAATTCAGAATCTGCACTTACTCTTTACCCCTTTCTTCCCCTTTCGTTCCTTCTTGTACTGTTCCTTCAGTTTACTTATTAGTCCCTGGTCTACATCCCAAACCTCAGCAGTTGGGGACAGGTCATCTTTGTCTACATGCAGCATATTATTAAAAGAAAAAAAAACAGCAATTGGCAATGCAAGCTGTTGGCGATTTACTATCACAGCTGTATAAGAGCATTAATAGAAGTTCTTAATAAATCTTTACTTTAAAGGTGCAGTCTCAGTTTGAAGTTTACAAAATACTAAGTCTCATTGCATACAGTTTTCCAAGGCACTGTATAATATCAGTTAGGTATTTGAAAATTTTGTTAATTTGTTACTAAGGAGCAAACAAATTAAGCTTCATAAGTAACTGTTCATGTTAGATACTTCAAGATACACAAAAATTCATTGGTGTTCAGAAACGATTACTGCATCTTTAGAAAGACAGTGTTAAGAAATTATTCAGCCAGTGTTGAACAAGCAAATAAAAGTATTCATGCTACATCTCTCATGAAAATGCAAGCTGAATAAGTCAGTGCCAGTTTACTCATGAAGACCACCATGCATCCTCTCGCACTCATTCTACATGCACAAGAAAGAAACCTTGGTCCTACATGTAACCAGAGAAACAAGTCTATAAATACAGCTTTTTACATAAAGATGAAGTAATTCATATAGGTGAATAAACTGACATTCCACTGCATTCCAGTAATTAAATTATAATTAGCAGAATTACAACATTCCACAGTAATTTCAGAAGACATGTCTTTTTCTGTTTGACAGATATGGTAGAATTAATTATTCTCCAAGAAAAGTTAAGTCTCCACTTTTCTAAACTATCCATCTCAAATATTTCTGGAAACACAGAATTAATAAAAAGGATAAACTTGTTTCTAAGACAAGCTAAATGCAACAGCTGCAGAAGCACTTTTGCTGGAAGACAACTAGGCAGCAACTAAAACTCAGTTTGTGTGCCAGTTAAGCCTACGCTCACAAATTCTTTAGACATAAAATAACAAAACTAAGTTTCTTAGTTCAGAACTTGCAATCATACCTACGATATCAGTGTTTCTGTAAAACAGCAATTTTTGAAGTTATAACCATTACAGTCACAAAAGTGCACAAGAGGAGCCACACGCAGCAGAGACAGAAACATGCATTTAGGATGCAAACCAGTAGGAGTTATTCCAAGTACATGTTTCATGACAAAACATGACACCAAATAAGAAGATATCCTAGGATACTGATGCATCTACCAAAAGACCACCAGTCAAGTAGGGATGCCCAAGGACACAGAGGAACAATCTTGATCAAAGAGGTGGAATGTGGAAATGGCAAGGGTGGCAAAGGCATGTAACGAGCAGCATAATGGCAAAGTCCCTTGAGCTGTCCACAAAGAACTGTGGAGAGGGGAATGGAACAACGACATCCTACACCAAACTCCAGCTACAACCACCAAACTGCAAATATAACCTCAACCTTTATGATCACAGGGCCAAAACACTGACAGAGAATAGGGATTAGTCAGGAAATACGAGAGGCACAGAAAGGTAAGTCAGAGGATATGGCCAACCAAAAGAGGAAGGAAATTAGGAAAAAACCAACAAAAAAACCCACCCTAAAATCCAATGAAAGGAAATTCAGTTAAGAACAAAGTAAAATAATAATAAATTTAAAAAATACACAAAGCACCATTAATAAAAGGAAAATAATCATCTAGTCTGTAGTGTTGCAGAGAAGGATTAGGGAATTAAAATGAACCAGAAGCTGAATGTACGTAACAGCAATGTAATGCTGTCACTGAAAAAAAGAGCCACAACAAAACTATCATTCTGGCATGTTTTAAAAGGTGTGGTGTATTAAACCAGGAGTAGTCCACATAATTCACTGATGGTGATGACAAAACTGAAATAATATGTCCAGTCTGTGTTCTACACTAGAAGTTTAGAAAATGTCAGTAAATTGCAAAACAAACAGGGCATTTAGTCAACAGAAAACAGGAAAAACATAAGCCTGCAAACAAAAACACAAACCCAATGCTACTGGCTGCTGAAATGTAGACTGTAAATAGAAAACTCGATAAAACACTAACTCAGATTAACCAGAGAGGCTGTGAAATTTATTTCAATAAGGATTTTTCAGAAAACCCAGCAGCGTTTCTCTGAGGTATGCCTAGATACGCTTCGCTATTTCAAACAGAGCCACATAACTAAACCTCCATAATTCCCACCTAGAAGTGAACTTCCTCAAATTGCCTGCAGTGTTTATAACCCACACTCAACTGACATCAGGGTAGTGCAGAGGATCCAGGATGTCCACTAGCCAGTACTATTTAGTGGAGAAAGGATTTTTTTTTTTTTAATGATTTTTAAAAATTATTATTTATTTAAAAGATGACCCAAGAGACTCTAAATTCCAGTCACATTCTGTCACACGGAATTCTGGGCATAGTCAGGTCATTCTGTGACTCACTGTCCACCTGTAGACAGAACTTGTGTTTCACAGAGAGGAGAAATTCAGTGACGAACATGTAGTTAGTCATCAAAATCATAAGCAGAATAAAAAGACTACATAATACATAGTATCTGTAATATGTAACATAATATATAATACTATGTATTTATTCCTGTTTGCTTAAGCAAACAGAAGTTCTATATGCATCTTTTTCTTGATACTATATCACCACAAGGTATTTATAAATTTTTAACCTAAAAATGTACATTCATTTTTGGAATGTGTTGCATATTTCAGTTCTTTATTTAACAGTGTTTGAATATGCTCATCTCTCACTATTTTGAAGAAAAGGTGTTCCTAAGTAAAACATGTTGCATGACAAGACACTTTAATTCACAATGTCTGAAAATAAATTAAGACTCAAAGTATACTGAATGAGGCACTTATGTAAAAAGAGTGTGTTCATAAAAAGCCGTATTATAGGAAGGAAAAAAAAGCAACCCAGACTTCCACACTCAGTGGCTGGTTTGCAGAAGTCTCCAACAGCAAAAATGTAACTGTCAAATTTGGTGATGAAATATTTTAGCATATCTGAAGTTAGACCTACACATAATACTTTGACAATTAAGTATTGAAAGTAAAAATAAAGCAAGACTAGGCAATAGGTTTAGCACCTGAACATCAGAAGCTTGGTTTCCAGATACTTAATAAAAGCATTATAAAAAAATACACATGTAAACATTTAGATTTTTTCAGAGAGCCTAAATCTTTGCAAGAGTAAGAAGTGACAGAAGGATGCCAATGACAGGAAAACTGAAAAAGGAAGAAAAAGCTGACTAGAAAACAGAACAGAGTAACTATTTACATTATGAAGAATAACATGAATTATGACTGAAATACTAAAGCTGATGACTGATGCAATTGTGTAGAAAGTAATGTCAAGTATTCATTTAAATGAAGTTCCTCATCAAAAATAAAGAAAGAAAGAAATGGGTGGACCTGAAGATTTCAGGTACCAACAGTTTCCCAGAATTCAAAATAATGTGACAGGCTAAAATAAATTGGTTTAGGCAATGTAATATTTTATTTTAGAAGGTGTTTAAGCAGGACAACATTTGCCATGTTATTTTTGATAGGTAATAAAGAGACATTGACTTTAAATATTTCAAATTTACAGACTGATCTTTAAAAAAGTGACACAACCCCAAGACCTGATAGATTGTATCCTTAAACATGCATTTAAAGAAAGCTTACAGCTAAAAGCTGTACAAAAAAACATTACTACTACAGTTGGAAGTATGTCTTCTGACTCATTTAAATAGTGTTAGTAAAAAATATACAACAAACTTACGGATATTGTCTTCATATGGCAAAATTCAGAACATCTACTTTTTAAGATGAAAGTAGGTTTATGTTTATTTCTTCCTCCTCACTTCCTTGCCTCAGACATTAGCATTTTGGTAAAAATGGAATCACTGCAGTTTAACCAACTGTCACCAAAAAGCAGTCACAAGTATGTACCAACTCACACAATGGTCTGCCTCACTTTTGCTATGGTTTCACTTAAACTATAATAAAAGACATTCAATCTGTTTTCTGTTTTATTTTTAAGTTTGGGACAGCAACTGAACTGCCCGAAAACAAGTTGGAAAAAATCTAACTTGCAAAGTCAGCACTGAAAATAAATCACAATCCCCCCATTCTGAGTAACTACCTGAGAAGATGACAAGAGAGATAACATGCTGGAAAGTAATCCTGGAAATCAATGACTTGGAATTTCAATAGACAAGCTAGTTCACCAAGTTTCAGCAGTCTGCTGTGAAAAAATTGATAAATCTTTGACTGCATAAATTAAACCATCAACCTGTCTTTCTTTCTACATACAACAGTGGTAAGACTGATGCTAGAACCAGAACTTTCTGCATCACTATACATCTGAATGGATGTTGCAAACTTAAACTCAAAACCTAAGCTCCGGGGCCTATGAGAAGTCTTATATTGAGAGATTTGCCTGTTTGGCTAAATAAAAAGACAACAAAGAAACTAATCAAATAACACCTTCAAAGAGGAGCACCACCAAGCAACTAAAACACTTCTAAAAATAGATAGGTATTACCAAAACTAAAGGTAACAGTTGCTCCAGCTTCATCTTCCAACTAGAAACAGACTGAATTTTATAAGTAAAGGTGACTAGCCCTTTAATACTAATTTCCAGGGAGGAATGCTTTCTGATCCTTGGTACCTTCAAAATCAAGACTGGATGATTTCCCTGGAAGGTGTGCCAGTATTTGGATTTCTGTAGATCTCTACATTCTCTTTGCTTACCTGCAGAATCCTAGCCTTTCTTATTCCAGAAAGAAAACATTCTCCTCTTAGTTTTGGAATCAAAACCAAAATCTGAAACAAATGTAACTATAATTGTACTCGTGGCAACTACAACAGCATATATATGTGGAAGTTGCAGCATCCAATACACTATTATCTAAGCATCAGCATTCGATCATCACAATCATACCACACATCCACACCATCTTAGCAGGTATTGCAACTTTTACATACTATCATGAACAGGTATTCCTTTATTTCTAAGTGCTTTTGTTAGCATCTTACCCCACTCTGTTCCATCTCCTGAACTTCGAGCTTCTCCGGCTCCCTCACCATCTTCAGCTGTCACTAAAAAATCGAATTCTTTCAAAGCTTCTTCAGTATCGGGGTCATCTGTAAGGTCAGCAGCTAAACCTTCATTACCAATCTGCAAGCAGATAAACATATTTCTGGCATTTGAATCATGAGCACATTTTTCTACTGAAATGTTTAGGCTAGAAGTGATACAGATTACTTTCACCGAGTACTTGGTTGCAGGGGAAAACATTTTGCAACATAAAATGCAGAGAAAGACACCTAGATATAGGCAGATCTAGAGCTGCTTATAAAATAAATAAATAAAGAGTAGTGCAGTCTAGTGATCATTAGGAAATGAAAATAATACTGACTTATATTTTTCAGCAATTAATTCATATTTGTAAAGAGGCTGATTGCTTGGTTTTCAGTTTTCAATATAATATATTAACTAAACCACCAAATTTACTAATAACGTATCTGCTTATAATCCATTCAGATAACAAAGGTACAACAACATTTTAATATAATGCATTTATAATCATCTGGGGAAAAAAAATTCTCTTTTAAAATAGGATTTCAGAACTATATAAAAAAAATTAAAACCAATCTTTTACTTTGTGTTTCTTATTTATTCGGTGCTTCTCTTTTCCTTCTGCAATATCTTCTATCATGTCACTCTCTTCTTCTTCATCACTATCATCTGCGTTTTCTAAGAAGTTAAATGTTTCAAGAACATCACCAGAATTCCTACATAAATAAAAACATTAACAGAGAATCTGTTTTACTTGCTGAAGAGATTTTAGAAGATTAATCAGATTAAATGCAACTGCTACCTAAAAGCTTAAGAGCTTTAGAACTAGCAAAACAACAAGACATGATTGTACGAAGAAGTTTCTACAGCTGCCTAATTCCTTATTATAAAAGCACCCCTCAACAGAATCTTTTCTTAAAATAACAACTCCAAAGTGGTTATATGACATAAATTCAGCTTCAACAGTCTATATATTTTCCTGTATATATGTATAATATACATATACATATGTAACACAGATATGTACATTCCTATGTATAATCAATTTCAGCTAACTTCATAATCATTTGCAGTCAGCTACACTCACAGACATTCAGAGCCTCTAGAGGTGAAAGTTCAATGTGAACTGATCACTACGTATCAATGACTAAGTAAAACACTGAAACTAAAGTTTAAGTGAATTTCTTATCTCTTCACTTACCTTTTGATTTCCTGTCCCTTTTGTTTTGATGAAGGAGATTCACCCCCATTGAGGATCTGTTCTAAGTTCTTTGTCTCTACTGAACCATTTGGTTCTGAATTGGAGAGCCCAAGCAAAGACCTTACCCGCTGGGAGCGTACATCCAATATTGTATCTGTGTAACCTACTTCCTGAAGATACCTAGATGGATTAAGAGACGAAAGAAAGGGGAAAGCATATTTGAGGGAAAAGGAAATAAATCAGTATTGACTGATAAAAATTAATGCCACTATTATACCGTTTATGGAAAATAAGCTTCATTGCTATCCTTCTCATATGGAAAATCTTACTCTATACTGCTTAAAGCTCAAGACTATGAAGTTCTGAAAAAAGAGCCACTATTTGCCCACCTTAATTACTCCGTTTCATGGAGTAAACAGATGTACAGCTCCTCATACTTCAGTGAAAAGTTTGAATACACCAATATTCAACAACGCTACTTACTGTCTTAGTAACTGTCTGCCTTGCTTCCAGGTCAACTGGCTGTTCTGAGGTACTGCAGGAACCTCTGTATCTTTGGTTTCTTCTGAAAGACACAGTATAGTCGGGTGGGTTTTTTGTTCTGGTGATTTGTTGGGGTTTTTTTAAAGGTCAATTTACTTTTTACAATACACCAAGGAAACTAAAAGCAAATCTTAAAAATAAGCTTTAAATTAGATGCAGTCTTATGCAGTGTTTCACAACTTAAAAATTCTTTTTTCCAATTCTTTGCTGAAGCATCAAGCAAATAATTTAACAGAACAAAATCAGTTAAAAAAATCCTGAGCCCTTACATGCAAAAAAGGAACTAGAAAAATGTTTAACTTGTACACAAAAGAAAACCTTGCCCTGGGCCAGCCAAAGTGTTACAGCTAAGAAAACAGGCTATATCACTCTCACAGAGCAGAGATGCTTAGAAAGCAACATGGAAAATAGAGTTAAAATAAGAGCAGCAGTGACATATATCAGCATTTGGAGAAAACAAGCATGTCAAGTTTAAGACAAATTCCAACAGTTTACTATCAACAATTAAAATACAGACCCATTGCACTTTTGCTATGGTAAAGAAAATAAAACATGGTACAAACTAATAGTTTAATGATTTTAACATCTAACTTATACTGCTTTTAAACACATATCAAAAATCTCATCAGGCAATAAATAGGAATAATGATCTCTAGTTTCAACTGGGTATAAAAGTACCCAAAATGTGGCACTTGTAAAGCAGAAAGCAAACAAACAAAACCAAAAAAGAAGGGGAAAAAAAAATAAAATATCTGTAGACCACAATTGTAAGGCACATTACACAAATACAGGTCAACAGTGACTTCCTACATTTCAAGAGAAACCACATGCAATTCTGCTTATTAGATAGTCCAATGTTGTTATGAAAAATGCTTTCCTCTATCTGCAATATTGTGAAGACAAAAACTGTTATGATCAACTTTATATCTACATTGCAAAATCAGATGGACTCCAGAGTACCAGTAAGAATAGTCTCATTTTTCTCTTAGAACTTTTTTTCCTTGATTTAAGATAAAAACAGAAGCTCAATAACATTTTTTTGAGGCCAACGCAGTACAATTGTTTTCTCATTCTTTAAAAACTAGCATCCTATAAAAGTACCAAAAAACAACAGTATTTCTTATGTTTATTCTGTACTTATGCTTTTCCTTCTGGATGGATGGCACAATGGCAAAAAAGTATTAAATCCTTCAAGAAGGGGTATTATAAGAAATAATGAGAAACAACAGCTAAATAAGGAAATGTGTAACTTTATTTAAAGCTTCCTTCGACATTCAGAGCACTTTCAAAAAAAGAAAGGTCAATTAATTTTGATTTTCAGATCAAACAATTATTTACTCAATACCAAACCTTTCCTAGCCATCTCCTGTATAACACACCTAAAACAGGTGGGGGGAACAATGAAAGCTGCAATAAATCAAACAGAGCAAACCCAGAACAGTGTATAAACAACTTATACTAAAACAGGCTATTGTGAAAAAGTTACCTGATTCAAAAGTTGGCATTTTCAAGTCACCTTGATTCAATTCTGTGCCGTATTTTAATTTATGATATTTTGCCCTGAAAGAGTATGCAAATATTTAACAAATTAGCATATAATGCTTTTATCAACTAAAAAACATTCTAGTATTCCCATTTAAAACAATGATACTAACACAATACAATTTACCCATACAGAACTGTTGTGACAATTATTGCATCATACAAGTATTTCTAGTCTTTCCAGTGCAGTTCTGAGATAACATCCTTGCAATTATCAAACAACTTACAGATGAGAGTTTAGTATGTTCTCCAATAATGTGGTTTTTTTTATTGTGTGCCAGATCCTAAGAGAACTTTTAAAAAACCAGCAGGTTCAACTATTTAGCAGAGATTATTTTTTTCAGTTGTAGCACTCTCCTAGCCCGCCAATCGCACTATGGTGAATGAAACTCCTACCTGGGCCTCCTGCCTATTTGCCACCTTCAGTTTCTGCTTCATTTTCTCTCTGCTTATGATAGAGATCTTTTCCTCTGAAAAACCACGTTGGAGTGCTTGCCCTCATCACGTATTTTCTTACTGATGATCTCCTCCTTATTGACTGGAGCCTCAGCTTCCAATTCCTGCTCAGTCCACCTATGCAAACATGCCTCACTGCTTCCCATCTCCTGATCTCTGATGCCCTAGCCTCCCCTTCTCCATCACTTTTTAAAATATCGGTCTTGGTGATACTATTTCCATGCAAGTATACACGAGCCTTCCAAATCTTATTCTCTACTCAAGCTGCCTATTACAATGTCTTCAGCTCCCTTTATCTCCAGGAATATCACATAAAGTACCTACACCTATAGCCTGAAAATCTCTAACTTTATCCTAGACCTTTCACTATTTGACTTTTGCCTCACAGATCTGCTGCAAAAATACTCAAAAACTCAGGAAAAAGAACTCTGGATGTTCTGCAGTAGAGCCAAGGTGAAAGCTCTGTAAAAAAGTTAGCAGCCACGTTTTAAAGAAAACTCTATAAAATACAGCTGTCTTCATAATTCTAAATTAAACATTTGAATAAAGCTTTAAGAATAACTGAACCACATTTAGTTCCCACCAATTTTAAAGACTATTCTTAAATATGAAAATTCTCAAGAAAAGATACATAATGGAACATGTGCTGGACAAAACCAAAGACTGTCAACAAATCATCTTCTCAAATAGCTGAGCCACTGCTGCAACTTTTTCCAAATGGAAGGTAAAAGTTCATCTCAAATGCTGCCTGACATATTTGATGGTATAGAAGATTTTCTTCTAAATTACTGAACTTTCTGCTAAAATAGCAATTAGGAAAAGTCTCATTAACACACTGTCAGTAGATGGCACTACTGACCCTTTATAGCAAGATAAAATCCTGCATGCCATACCAATTGCATTGTAACTGAAAAACTGTAAGGCACCTGAAGACCAGGTATTTGTGTGAGCTGAATCTGACTGACTGCCAGTTAAATAGAATAATAATATTTTAGTTATTTGTGAATGTGTTCATATTTCACCCATGCACTAGTAAGACTGTCTACCATAGGTGCTCTCTTTAAACTGACAGACCAAGCTTTGTTCCACATTGTAACAGGGCAGTGTTTCACCAAGCTTTCCAGATACAGTGTACATACTATTATTTATACACACTATGAAGTACTGTACATTTAGGGGTTTAAAAAAAATTAAAAATTATGAAATCGTAAAGTTAAATAAAGCTTATGAAATATTTTTGCTCAATTCATAAGTGAAGTCAATAAAGCACTGTAGTTGAAAAGCCAAACTAAATTTGTTCAATGTGGCAAATACTATTTAGGAGCAGTTGTTCCATTTTGGAGCTACAATTTCAAAACATCAATTCAAATTCTGCTTTAATTGTTCATTAGAGAAGATAATGAGGTAGTGCATTGAAAATTATACCAATGACTAGCCACTACAAATAAGCCAAAATATCGCTGCATGCAATGAGATCAGTTGTCTTTCACGTCACATCTGATGCTCCACTTCAATTTTACAGTAAGAAATTAACCTTACTGAATTCCAATAAGCTATATATTTGCACATGTATTCCTCTCTGTATTGTCACACAAGCCAGGGTGATAATTACATATCTTAAAAATCACTAACAAGCTACAGCGTTGTTGACAAGTCGGTGACATTACTCCCCCACACTGCACAGTAACTGAATTCAACAAGAGGCATCTTTTGAGTCAAAGCTTTGAGTATTGACTTGCTGTTCTTCCAAGCCCAGGTTTCCATGAGTGAAAGAGAGGAAGAGAAATCATGCCCTAAGCTGATTTAACTGCTTGCTGCTATTTAACTGTTGAATCCCACCACTCAGTTGCAACAATATAAGGCAGCTGCAGTCCAAACCCCATAAAACCAAAATGTAGCCACAGTTTTATGGTCTCAGCAAGTCCTATCAATTTAAGCACAACACTATGCTAATGAAGCTGAGAGTAGAGTGGCTCAGAGTACATAAGAGAAGAAGTCTGGTTGTGTCTGTAAAGCACCATAAAGGAATATCCATTAGCTACAAACAAAAAAACCCCACACATGTAACCACTTAAGGCCCAACTTTATTACAAAAACTCATATAGAAGTACCAAAATATTTAAGGACATTAAAATAATAAACAAAATCTTACTTCTCTAAAACACTATCACACACATACTTAGAGATAAATACTAGAAATATCAAACTATTTTGTAACTACTCCTGCATTTTATTTCATCTTACATACTGATGTCCTGTTTCACACCCAGACAGTCATTACTGTCTGAATGAGTTTGTTTCTGACTCCCTGCAATCTGATATTTCACTGCATGAAACATTCTGACAGTATCAGGGAGTTAGTGACAAGAGGAGAAAGGGGGCGGGTAGGAACTGGGTGCAACACTGAAAATTGCTGTCAACAATTTTCGGATCTGAAATTCTCAAAATTTATTTTGCTTTGGGGCTGATTTCTTTTCATAAGTTGTGATTCTTCACTCAGAGGAACAACGGTAAAAAAACCCCACATCTATTATCCTGAACTCTTCATTCAGTGCCACAACCAAGAAACTAACATACTATCATTCTTGGCCGAGTTACTGACAAGCCAGTACCTGCTTGCTTTCCTTACTCAATCCATCACACTTTCGCAATTAGATCCTTCAAACTTTTGCATTTGTAGCAAAAAAAAGCAACAGAAAGCTTCCTCATTGCCTCCCACACATTCACCAATCAACCCCAGAGTTTCAGTTCCTGTTTTTAGCAATCTTCATGACAATTTTGGCTGGGACTCAAGCAAGGATTTTCTTCTTGAAAAGTATGCAGTGTTGGCTTGTACCCACTAGCCGCAAGAACTAGAGCAAACTGTATTTCTGCTGTTCTGCTTCTGCTGTACATATGATTACAAGTTTGTTGCCCATCAGATGAATTCTGTGGTCAAGCTAAAAAGGCAACTGCATTTCAGAGGAAAGCAGGACTAAAGTTTCACCAATGCCATTCATCTTCAAATTTTGCATTCTGTTATATGTTGTCTTCACACTCCAGCTGTAATTAACTGCCTCTGATTTATCTCAATAAGTAGTCAAACCCCACAAACTTATAGTGTGCATCCGCAGAAAGTCTCTATGTGCAGCACAGATAATTTATTAGTGTAAAAATAAGCAAATTCTCTTCCTTCAACTTCAGAAAGTTACTTACACCCAAGACACTTGAGTCTGCCATAACAGCACATTATTCTTTTGATCTGTTCTTTAAAGTTGAAGAGTACACACCCCCCAACACTTTGCATACTTTTAATCTGCCCTGAATCCAGAGTGACTTGCACCTTACCTATGGGATATAACAATGTAACTTCAGTCTTACACTGGGTGGAAACCTTGAGTTACTTTCCATTTCAAGGACAGAGCTGAATGAAGAAACAGATCCTTTCTGACTATTATTTCATCAGAAAACACAGGATGTGCCAATGCTGCTTTCTGAGGCACCTTTATACTGGATGCTTCACGTAGAGGTATGCAGCCACCTCTGCCAAAACACTAGTTTTTAATATGAAACCAAAGTTATTTCTTTACTAGTTACTTACTCATAGTACTAATTCATAATGTAAAACATACTAACATAAGACATACTTACTCTCAGACAGCTAACTTAATGTCCAGGTGAAGCCTAACTACACTTTGCTACAATTTTTTAAGTCTACTCT